TGTTGTATGTATGTGGAGAAAAAAGAAACACTAAAAGTGGGTTGAATAGTTTTACTCAAAAACTCAACTTTTTTGCAAAGTAATGAAGTAGTAAATTACAAATTAGAGAGGGCAAATGAAACAAAGAATGAACTTAGAGATTTATACTAGTTTGTTTCAATCATCGAAACTACGTCCAGTTCTTAATCCAATCAAAACAAGTTTTACTATCTTATCAAAGATATAAGTATTCTTTACCAAATCATTTCTTGCTCAAACCTAAGTATTCTTTGATTTGCCTCTTCAAGCAACTAGCCAAATATTCATTTTACACAAAGCCTCTCTAGGCTTAGTACTGAGTACTCTTTTACAAATAAGTTTCTCTAGGCTCAAACCCAATAACTCAAAGTTATAAAAGGTTTACATAGTTACTTTATCTTCCTTTCAAGACGTGATACAACAAGTTAAGTACAAAGATGATTATAGAAAGAATGGAGAAATGATATTTCAATTTTAGATTGTCGTTACTTCTTTCTAAACTCCAAACTTCCTTTTATAAGCTTCAACGAAGATGACCATTGCAAATTCTTGAACTTCTCTCTCATGGTTTGTTTCGTTTGTCTTCACGATTTGCTTCTTGAAAAGAGAAATGTTCGTTGGTATAATAAATGTTTACATTAAATAATTTTACCAAATTGTCACTTTTTATTTGATCAAAGAAACTACTTATCACCTTTTGGATACAAAGTGGGTAAAGTCATGCATGTGTTAGGATGTTGTAGTGATGAAACAACTTTTGATTGTAACTTTCCATATTTGCAGGGATTTGCTTTTTTTTTTTTTATGCCAAACATGTCTTTCTTTTTTATAGAACGTTGGTACTAGGAAAGTATTTTAAAATTCAATTTGTTAAGAAAACATTTAGACGTAGTCAATTTCTTGTTTAGAGATCGTATATGATAAAAATTTAATGCATATCTCTTCTAATGACTAAGGGTTTGTCTTAGGCAAAATTAGAATCGTTTTAATGCAACTTTTGTCTTATACGATGATTCATCTTACTAACAGGTTGCATCTTCGAAGGTTCGTCTTAGTCATTTTGAAAAATCTATATTGTTGATCAAGAACTTCTTTGTTTGTTAATAGCAAAACTTAAAATTAGAGATATCTACGAATATCTTTTGACCTAACAATGTACAATATTGTAAAACTCATAAAATTATTCATTTGGTTGATATGATATCAACCATAATAGTATAATAAAAAAATGTATATAATTATGCATAAATTTAAAAAAAGAATTGATAATTGATTTTTAGTTATAAAACTAAAGTTTAACCTAATTTATTTTTAATATAGATTATCTTTTAGATCTTTGAGCATGCATTACTTAGGACATTTCTAAAGTTAGTTTATAATGTCTATTAAGAGTCAACAATGACGATATTTTTTTTTTATTTATAATATCGTTTAGTTGGTGTTGAATCAAAGTGAAGCGCGCTCAAGTTTAAGTCGTGTTTAATGTGTGAGCATAATGTATTTTTTGGGTTGAATGGCGCGACTTTAGGAGACAAGTGAGCCCTGGTGTGAGATAATAAATACCTAAAACAATGTGTAAGAAATGGAGTATCAAATAATTTTTAATTTTTTAAAACTTTGCATACTTGCAGTGGCGGATCCAAGAATTTTAAGTAGTGGAGATAATATTCATATACAAATTTGTAGTAATAAACATATAATTTCACATTTTTTAGAATGAAAATATACATTTTAATTATTTTTTATGAGAGCTCATATTCTAAAAATACTAAATAATTTTCTCATTTTCAACATTTTTAAATTTATTTTTCTTTATATAAGTAACAAAACAATTATTTAATCATTCATTTCTCACATTAAAACATTAAAACTTTATCTTTCTTGAATCCACCACTATTCATGAGTCATATATATATATATATATATATAGGGGAATGCTAATATACTCCCACCTATTTTTTTAGTGGGAGTATGTTAGCAACCTATACCAAAATTTTAAGACAAAAAAATCACTCATTTCTTTTGATTTAGTTAATTTGTATAAAGGATATTATAGTAATTTAATTTAATTTTAAAAGAAAATTAAATATTTTCTCTCTCTTATTAATTTCTTTCACCAAGTCATTTTTCTCTCCTATTAAATTATTTCTCCAACCTATTTCTCTTTCCTATTAAATTTTTTCTCTAATTTATTTATCTCTCTCCTATTAAATTCCTTTTTTAACTTATTTCTCTCTCATCTCTCACGATGCCTCCCCCCTCTCTCTGAACAAATAAAAATTAATTAATAGAAAAAATAAATGAATTGGCGAATGAAATTAATAAGAGAGACAGAAAATATTTTATTTTTATTTAAAATTAAATTAAATTACTATAATATTTTTTGTACGAATTAACCAAATAAAAAGAAATGAGTGATTTTTTTGTCTTAAAATTTTGGTGTAGGTTACTAACATACTCCTACTAAAATATAGGTGGGAATATATTAGCATTCCCCATATATATATATATATATATATATTTGTGTGTGTAAATTTTTTTACATAATTATGTCGTGTGACAAAATCTTTGTATTTAACTTTTTGTGCATGATCTATTATTATATCACAAACCTTAATTTAAATCTGATATGGGGCAAGTTTAATTTAATTCATTGAATCTATACGCAGGCCACGTGACGGCTAAAATGTATAGTGAAGTTGAACAAACTCCTTGTGAAACAATCAAATCAACTATGCATAATAAGTTGTGAGACTTTATCTTATTTGCATGTGCAATGTGTCATTTTTCTAATTAGCCTTGAGAAATTCAATCAAAAGTATGGCTAACTTTTCCATGGCTCATCCCTTAAATCATATATCTTAGTTGTGGGTAAGCTTGAGTGGGCTACCCTATAACGTTTTTAATACGTTTTTCAACAAAGAAGACTTGGAAGAATTCAGAAGATTGAAGACAAAATCGTCCAAACAAATTACTGGTTAATTAAGGTCAAAAGTCAAGGTCCACAAGGAGATGTTTTCGTGAAGAATGTTCAAAGAACTGACTTCATTAGTTATCATATAATGTAACTACTCCACTCATTGACACGCTTAACAAATTAATTAAGGAGTAACAAAACTAGACATCTAGGATCACCATAACACCTCTGTTCTATTTAGTTGATGTTTTAACAATTTTTATTTGTTTGAACTTGATTGTCATTTTATAATATTAATATAACATTAAATATTTTTTCTTATTACACCCTTAAGCATTATTCTTTAATTATTGGTGAGAATTCAAAATGTTTAAAAATATATTGAGAAATTGCATGATTTATTTCATGAAATCAAACATATTCATTATATTTTTTAAGTGTGGCATCAAAACCTTAAATGTCAAACAAATTTGTATACAACAGTTATTTTCATATTTTATAATTTAAATAATTATTATCTCCAATTCAACATTTTTTTTACACATTTTAAATGGGTCTCACTATTGCATATTTCATATTTTTATATCCTTTCAATAAATTTTAATTTTACTATTTTACTATATAAACATTATTTATTATTAAAAATAATATTAGTGGATCCCACTTAGGACCAGCCCAAGAATGACGAAGGCCCAAACAAATTATGAGATACTTTTATACTTGAAATAAAAAAGTTATATCTCGAAATGTTATTTTACCAATATATTTATGTGACCTTTTATTTATCTATTTATTTATTTTTTTTAAAATCTAATAACAAATAATTTTTATAGACTTAAAACTTGAGTTTTAGTAATCTTACCGGCCACCCATGACCCCACTACATAATGCTTAACAAGTGTACAAAAATTGGCTACAAGAGCAGGCTCTTATTCTTAATAAGAAAAAGGGAGTTAAGAACTCCCGATGCGAATACTCTAGCAAGACGTAAAATGCCAATAATTAGTTCAAATTTAAAACCAAAATAAAAAGTAAAAATTATGGAGAAATTCAAATGAAGAACCATCGTTAGTTTGTATAGTTATGAGTTACTTATTAATACAAAATGTGGTGTCAATGTTGCACGCAGGATCGTAGTCCATTAGAAATTAGTAAAGGATAGGTGTCAAGATATTAGAGTAATTGTTTTTCCATAGACCTTGTTGCAGAGGTAAAAGGATGGTCATGGACACTTGGAATATTATACTATTCTCACTCGTCACTGCACATAACACATGCAAGCACCAAAATTGAAAATTTTATCATCTAATACACAATCAATAATAATGCACAATAAAGACCCAAAGAAATGGTTCATTGGGTTGTTTGCTTGACAGATTTCAGAACCATACACAACCCAGCATATGATTTCACTTGGATTAGGTTTAATTTTTATTTCTTGTATTAGCGACTGATTGACTTGTATTAGCGCATGCATTAAGTAGTTATTACAAATAATTTCTAATAATATAATATCTTCAATGAAAATATTTAGGTAGGAAGACACTATAAACCATGGAACTCACATTGAGAATGGAAGACAAGTGAATTCCATCCGAGAGAAGAGAAAAGCTCCACAAATCTGAATCTGTTCAAGTGCTTCCCTTCTAGATGACATCAAGCTAATACCACAACTGTCCCTGCAACTTCCTCAGAAGTCAGAAGCCACTTTTCTACCCACTTAAATATATTGAGAAACTGTTTTCTTGTAATAAATTCGTACATTCTTTTTATAACCATGAGATAGATTAGAGAAAAAGAAAAGATAAAACAAGTTATATGATATTGATAGAAAAGAGACTGAGGGAATAAAATAATTGGTAAAATATTCTAAGAAATTATGTGAAAATATAACTCAAATGTATTTGCATATTTAAATCCTCTCATGCTACTTACTAACCTGATATATAGCCATAATGCAATGTTACAAAAGAAAATGATAAAAAAAAAAAAAAAAAAGTATACCAAGACCGAATAACTTTGCTTTTTATCCACGATGATTCGACGGAAAGGGTCAAGCAATGAATTATATTAACCGTACATTGGATTTAATTTCTAATTTCATTGAGTAACATCCGTTTTCAAATATTACTTTACAAGCATTTCAACCATTTCACATACATTTTTTAACCATTTCATTCACATTTTTGACAAAACAGAATTGGTCAAAACAATACCCCAGATCCGGGGGGGGGAGTGATCTAACTGATTATAAATTTCCTCTTAAAGCTAGTTTGAAACTTAAATATTAGGCTCTCATCAAGAACGTGCTACAGATGATTGGATTTCCATTCAATGAACAGTTCCTGCTTATCAACCACTTTAGGAAAATGTCCATGAACTGATTCGCTTTCCCATTCAATTTCGTAAGAACGACAATCCTCGCTACTAATTGATCTCGAGCACAACTTTCTGAAGTGCTTCTGCTGTCAGAGGGATGTGCAAGCAATCTTGACCATCAGAATGCTTCTTAATTTTGACCAGCTCATGATCTTTAAATTCAGTCAAATGGGAATTCAGTGTAACCTGACTGCTTACAAGAAAACGTTCTCGACACACAGAGTAGAGATCATTGATTGGCATTCCT